GGGGATTTAAAGGAAAATCCAGCACAGCTTGGAGGTGTGAAACTTTGTCTGTAGCAGACAATGGCCTGGGCTTAGGTTTGTCAAAAGGAATTAAGGTTTTGCTATTATAACTTCCCGTTAAAACAAGTGTGATATATGAAGTGCTAAACCTCAGGCCAAAGTAAAGAGCGGTTTCACGGAAAAGTTGAGCAAAATATAGCCCCGTGTCCTTGCTAAAGTGAGGTAAAAGACTTTACAGGTACTTTATAATACAGATATAAAAGGTTTTTTTAGATTACGTTTATTAACTTTAGGATGACACTAAAAGGTGTGGGATCAATTTGTTTTTTAATTTTATTTTCATTTTAACTGATGTTTTATATATTTTTTTAATACTATTTGCATAAAATATTTATTTTACAAATAGATAATGAACACAGGGAACACAAAATGACAAAGGATTCCCAGAGCACTAGAAGCTGCCTGCATTCAGGATGCCTTGCCTGACTGAAACCCTGGATGGAGCTGTATGCAACGGGAGCGAGTGAGTCACTGTCTTGATTTATTTACTTAAAGAATGGTAAAGGAAGAAGCACTGAATTAAGTAACAGTTGCTAGAGAGTTGCAAGACAAGAGGTTACAAAAAAAAACGGTTATTGCAAGGTTTAGTGTTGGGGTTAGTGTGATGGTTAGGGTTAGAGGTATTGCAAAGGTTAGCATTACAGAAAAAGTTAGAGTAAGGGTTACAGATAAAGTAATGTGAGTATTAGGATTGCAAGAAGAATTAGTGTGAATGCTAGAGTTGAAAATCATTCTCTGTGCTGGCGTTATCCTAAAAAGCTATCTCCCCTATACTGAATGCCAATGTGCTGAGATTACACTCACCTCAAAGAGGAAAAAAATTATCAGATAATGAGGTCTAGAATGGTAATTCCATCTGGAACAGATCAAGGCTAGGTTCAGGTCTGAGCGATCCCGGGGCACACGTCCCAGTACAAAGTAAAGGAATAATGTCACCAGCACACCAGTTTTTGTTAGTCAATGATCCATTTTAATGGCACATTGCCATCCAAATACCCAGTACCACCCGATCATGTTCGGGTGCACAGAGCGATTGCCACAAGGTCCTATTGATTTCAATGGGGTTACATCTGTGTGGCAAATCTCTAAAAAAAAAAAAAAAAAAAAGGTACAAGTACCTTTTTTTGCAACACACAACGTGCAGCTTTTTCAGCGTGATCCGCCCGGCACTACTGTGGTGCCATTAGAAAATAATGGCACCGCCAGCGCGATTGGCGACTCCGTGACGGCCCAGCAATCCGTGCGGTTTTGTGCACGATTGCTACGCAGTCATGGATCGCCCAGATGTGAACCCAGCCTAATTAGTGTGGACGGACACTTCTAGATTCAGTCATAAACCATCTATCAAAAACTTGGGGCCTCATTGCTGTATGTTCCACAAGTATATGGTAAGCAGCAGTGTCACCCATACAGTATTCTCTAGACAAACATATGTAAGTGGACAAAGTGACACTACTGATCAACACAAAATGGATGTAGATGGGTCAAGCCATGGTAAGTGCCAAAGCCTTGATCTCAACGATGAACTCTATCGTATAGAATAGTCTGTGTATTAAAGTAGACACGTAAATCAGCACACCAATCTCCATCCAAAACCAATTGATTTAGATTGGTCTAGGAGTCCATAGAAATATTGCAGATATAATGCAGTGACTTTCAGTTGTTGTTGTTAAGATTTCTAATAATAAGTTGGGCAATACAAATATGTTCTTTATGCATAGCTGAACAACTGTGCCTACAAAAAAGGATCAAAACTGTCAAGCCTACTGTCAAAGCTCCTCACATACAATTTAAGATAATCTATATTTATGTAATCAATAATGCTTTTCCATTCAATTCAGGAATGTAAATAGGAATCTGCCAACGGTAGTTATAATGCCGGCTGACTTCAAACATTGATTTTCAATAACCCGGCTAAATCACCTCATCCTAAATACTTAGGTTTTTATTTACATGCCTAATAATCTTGCTATTGTTTATGGCGACCACCCTCTAATTATAAATCCATTACAGCAGCCACAGTGAAATTCAATCAATACGCTACATAAATGGGAAAAGCAGGAAATATATACAGCCTTATTCACGAGTCAGTAGATTCCTTCACTTGTGCAGTAAATTCTTTTCTATAAACAGACTGTCTTTGCTGGCCGGGGTTCACTGTCATGCCTCTTCAGTATAGTCCTTGGCTATATACAGATGTAGCAGCTATTGATGACAAGAATGTATAGGTGGTCAAATGCCACAGTGCAGGAGATGGACCCCCTTACAGCCACTAACCCTACAGTTGATCATGGTTGTAAGTAAACCACCAAATCTCAACTGGCAAAGTACAATCGGTCCTGTGCAGTAGTCACACACTTTTAAAATTATTTAAGGCTCTGGACTTTGTGTAGAGACACAACTTGGTTCACACCAACTCCGAATAATTCTGAAGCAGGGAGAACCCAGATTACACATTATTCGGTCGGCTTTTGGAGATTGGCCAATTTTGAATATTTTAATTCTCCGATTTTTGTGACACTGTTTCTGCAAAGGGCCCCTGACCGCCTTATACTCAACTTGCCTGCAATTCCTTAATGCTCTTTCCTTCACCACATCAGGCATCTGCACTGCTTGGTGCTTCCAGGGTATAGGGGAACATATGTCACTTCTTGGGCCTAGGAGCCAATCGCTAGGCCTGAGCATTGTCACAAGACTATGGATTCCACCGTTTTTTCCAGGGAAACCCGAACACTCTAGCGACACACGGACATTTTTGGGGGAGAATGAGTCGTGGCTTATTCATATGTAAATAGTGTCACCCATTCATATGTAAATATCACAGTGGAGACTCTTTTGAGTGGGGGGCCAGTAGCCCCTATCTTAATTTTGGTTGCCCCTGTCTGCCTGACATCATGCTTCCCGGGCTTCAGCTGCCATGTAACCCGGACTCTGCATGAAAAACCCGGACTGTCCAGGTGAATCCTGGACAAGTGCCAACTCTACACAAGAACAAGGAAGTGAATACTATCTGGTACTTACAAGTATGATGAGCATGTGACTCACTACCCTTCCCCCATGTGGCAACACTGATGCTTGGCGAGTCAGTCCTCAGGCCCCAGCACTGTCACTTGGGGACTGAGCAGAGAATCCTTAGCCCTGTGTTGCCAGCAGCTGAACAAAGTGGCAGGGGTGTGAAAGAAAGGTGGGCATGTCAAGCTAGTCGGGCTGGGATTTGTTATGTTAAGTGGTAAGTTACCTTTTAGGGATACCCTAATATTTAGAGTTTTAAGTTAAGGGTTCGTTTTCAGGTGTTAGGGTAAGTTTCAGGGTTAGGGCAATGCAATGATATGTAAATCTTATAGCTATTTTCCAATTTTATGCAAAGACCACTATGAGCCACCAGACCCAGGACACTATAAAAATCACAGGGTGCCAACATGGCCCATTTTAAACCAGCAAAGATTTTGATATCCTTATAGTTAATGGCAGACACTTCATTCTACACCTGAAACCATCTTCAGAATACAGGAACTATAATTAAGCGTCAAAAGCACAAAGGCTCTTCTTGTTTCTGAATAATCTAAATAAAATATAAACAAAGTTAAGGATTGCAGTTCTAGCAAAACGGATACCTATTTTCTACATTGGAAAGTTGAAAGAAATTTTGGTTGCTATGGGTTACTGAATTATTCTTTGCCTTATAAACTAGGCCTACACAGAAGGTGTGTGTCAAGGACATTATTATCTTATTAAATTTAATTCCATGTCTCTGCCCTCCCGGATCCAATTCTCAGCTTGTAATGTTCAATTGTACAAATTTCCTCTGCTCATCCAATTAAGATTTTAAACCTCTAGCATTCCTTGCTCCATCAGGGCTTAAAGATTCATAGCTGTATAAAGAATAGCTAAGTAACCGCATGGCAGGAACCAGAAACAGAGCAACAGCAAACAAAGAAAGAAAGATATAATTTTAATAGCACCATCAGATCTACGTGCATTAGTTATGGCTGATCGCACAAATAATTGTTAATCATGCGTTTCCCATTATAAATAATAAATTGTGGTTGGGAAGAATGAACAGCAATGACAAGGCCTCAGGTGTGATGCAACTCTGCTTGAAAATCGCTATCAATCTGTATTAAAGGAAAGACTTCATACCTGGCCTGCCATTGTTAACCACCTTCCGAATATGCCAGTGCCTGGCTGTCATGCGTCAGTCATTTTAGTGACTGACCTGGAACAAGTATGCAGCAAGTAGTCAGAACTCAGGATTGCAGACTTGTTCCAGGTCAGTATTGAAGCCAGAGAATCATGTTGAGAGCCAGTAATCTAGTATTTTTAGGATATGATAAAGAGCAGCCCACAAGTTTCCCTTTCAGAACCATTATTTTACTGCATATTGGATAAAGAGAGATAAAAACCCAGTAGTGCTAGATTTAGTGAAGAAACTACAAAGTTGGGGGAAATCGTTGAGGCAGTCTGTGACAATTGTCATACTTCTCCTATCCCACAAAATTCCACTGGATATCCACCTATCTATGGCTAGATTTTAAGTGACATTGCACGTGCAGGTCATATAGGCCAACCCAATGTAGACTACAGATGACCCAAAACCGATTTAGCTATCCATAATCAAACTATTTATAGACATGATAAACCCTTATTTTCAATAAAAGCCATAATCCTATGGACCCTATAGAGTAAAATACAGGAGATTGAGAAGATACTCATATGTTATGTTAATGTGGCCCTTGTAAACATGCATCCTGCTCGTTCAATATCCACTTATCTGCTGGCCTTAAAGGTCAAGGATGGCCCGAGCCTATAGAAGGCTTACATCCTAAATAAACATATTTACTTCACAATCAAACCTTGCCTGGGGATTTTTAATATGCTGAAACACAAGGGTTAATTCACAGACAAAACATATTACACACAGGTAAATTGGGGATACTTACATGGCATGAAGGAGGAAGGTAACTATTGACCCGTGATATGCTCCACATTCCCTCTAGGTATTGCTGGGCCTGTATGGTCACTGAACTCAAAGCCCCACCAAGGCCACCGGGGCCTACCGTCACTTGAACACTGGAACTCGGAAAATTTCCCTGCCCTTGGGGCCATCCAAGTCCTTTCTTTATCTCTGTCCCCGAGAAAATATTCGTGGATTTTCCAGACTGTCTACCCACCTGCCCTGCAATCATCAGGAAATCCTTCTGTGAGGACACGGTCACCACATTCTGGGACGAGAGCCTTGGAAGGACGGTGGCCACGGGCACCGAACTTTGGGGCCGATCCAGGAGATCAGGCAGGCACCCAGCCTGATTGATGGTTTGGATCATCTGCACGGCTTCCTGCTTGAGCTGATTCAGGTGAGTGGCGCAGACGTCACACCGGCTCTCCCCTTCATTCCTGCTTTTTTGCAGATAGTCAGGCACTTGGAGCTTGTCGAAAATTAAAGCTGAAAACTGGGCATTCTGAAAAGAGAAGATAACAATTAATGAGCTTTGAAAAAAAAGGGGGACAAAAGAAAAGTAAGGGGAAAAAAAGACTGTCAAAAAAACATAAAATTACATGGTTAAAGTTATGGGTGAATGCAGTCTAGCTGAATCCCTCTTACATTGCTCGGGAATTTCAACAGCAAAATCACACCACCGATGACTCTGGTTCGTGACTTGCTTCAGAGCTGCTTCTGTCCCCATAGAAGCCTATGGGAATGCAGAAGGAGCTTCAAGCAGGTCAAATGCAGTCAAAAGAAACTGCAATGAATTCTGAATGATCTCAGAAACATGCTGCATTTGCCCATCACAGCCCATTGAGACCGGGTACTAACAAAAGAGAGAATAATGCTGACATCCCCAATCCACCTCACAGGAAAAAAAACATGGCCTCAGGTTTCAAATGCTTAAACTAGCCAGTAGATAGCTTCACACATGCTCTGGTCAGAAATGAATCCACCTGTTACTCCATCTGCTACAATGGGTATTCAAACTGACAAAACCTCAACAATCACTGTTGTCATACTGAAGACAACCTTTGACATGACAACTGCAGATGATCTACTTGCTCACCTAAAGCTTGTTAAATAAGGAGAAGGTTGAAGGTATAGTTTATTAGCAGCTTGGGTTACTTGTAAAACACACAAACTCATCCTTTAGCCCTTATTCACACGACTAACGGGCCGTTTCCGGGAAGGACAGGTGCTGCGTGTGATCACACGCAGCAGCCTGTTCTTCTCTATGGGAGTACACGGCCGTGCGCCGCCGTGCGCTCACCCGAACTGCACGTCCGTACGGGTGCAGGTGTCCCTCGGACGCAGACAGGATCCATCCCTCTTGTTGGAAAGGGATTCATTAAAAAAACAGGCCAGGACCCATTAACATGATTGTGTTGCAGCACATTTGTACTGCACAGTACTGCAATGCATGGGTAAATGTTGCCTGGTTATTCATTCTGAATTGCATCTCAATGCACCTATACATCAAGTAAAAATACACATTTTCTAAAGCGCACCAAAACACACATATGTGACATGAATATTCTGTGCATTGTGGTGCACGGTGTTGGCAAAAATGAAGGAAAGGGATTCATTAAAAAAACAAATGGAACACAGGTATGTGTTGGTGCAACAAATGGAAAAAAAAGAAGGGATGTTAATGCACATTCATAGTGTGGATGAGCTCTTACAGGTCATGATTTACCCATTAGCATCCCATGAAGAAATCCAGAACAGAAAACACATCCGTGACATGCCACCCTATCCACCGTTTCCTTGAAAAAGAGCTGATGACACTTCCATACTTCACACTCTGCTGCTATAGAACACACGTTCCCAAAAAACAATTTGAACCCATACCACACATCAATAGCTGGGACGGCTACTGATGGATTTATATGTTCTGCGTTCACATGTAAAATGTCCCAGATAAGCTCTCTGATCTCCTCGCTGGGTGCAGTCAGCATTTTACATGTCGGCTACGTGTCAGCTCAAAATACTCCAAGCATCAGAATTCTGTCTTGTGTGCTGGAATTTTCATTGGCTATTTGCAGGGTGGCATTTGAACCAGGAAAGTGGCTTTTATAAGCATACGGGGGTGGGGTAGGGGAGGTTTATCGCTGGAGTTCTCCTGCTGCTTGTTGATGGAGCAGCTGTACTAGAGGATCTACCCAACGTGCCTGAGCACCTGGCCAACAAGTGGGTGTGAAGGTTAAACTAAAACATGTCACGGGTCGTCATAGAGAGAACAACTTGCCAGACTTTAAAGGGATGACCCACACCATTAAAAATGGTTTTATTATCGCACAGCAAACTTTTCTTTCACACAGGCCCCTCGTGAGGGGAACAAAGATTACCAGAGAGGAAATATTTTTGCTGCAAGGAAGGATGTACAGTATAAAGGCTAGGCTACATTCACACGTCTATAAATCCTCCATAATCCTGGAGGTGACCAAATAAACAGACGATTCAAACTGAGCAGAGCGTTTTCACGGCCACCCACATTTCATTTTTATAGGATGGTCGGATAACACAGAATAGGGGAGCACAGTGATTATTTGCTACACAGGCAAACCTACATCAACACATAAAAAGGAAATAGCAACAGTTTTATATTATTTGTGAATTACATTAGAACTATAGCTAAAGAGCTAAATGCACAGTTAAAAATATTAAAATATATCTATCCAAATGGGCACTGCTGTAAGATTTTGAAGCCTTTTAATTCACACTTCTGCACAGCTACTAAGGTGGCACCATTATTCCCTAGTTCATCTTTGCAGCTTCCTGTGTCAGCTCTGCAACCATAAACCAGTAATAACACACACACACTACTGATGCATCATCTACGGAACAGACGGGTTACACAGGAAGCTGTAAAGCTGAAAAAGTAGGGTATACATGGTAAGATTTTGGAACGTTCGTTCGAATTTCTAATCATTGATGGAGGTCAAATCGACGATAGATTTTGACCACAGTGACAAAGAAGAAATTTGAAGGAGCATGTTGGAAAAATGTTCTCAATCGAACACATTTTTAACAGTGAATGTGGTTTTCATTCAGAAAATCCATTCATTCCAAAATAGAATTTTAACATTCTATTTTGGAATGAATGGATTTTCTGAATGAAAACCACAGAAAATTTGAACGTCAATCCACAATTTTCTGAAGCTAGTAATGAACATTGCAACTGGATTTTTCGTACAAACCTTCGCAAAAATCTACCCTTGTATATCCTACTTAAGACATTGTGGAGTCATCTTACAGGTCCATGCATTGTGGCAGATGTTTCCAGCACAAAATTAAACAAAATTATAAATCTTTTGCCAGATAAAACTATTCAGCTATGAGTAATAATTGTGATCACCTAAAGTTCTACCATTGTAGGGTCACAACACGGATAAGCCCCTCAATTATAACCAATATAAACCTACTTTATTCTCCAGTCTTCACAGTACATCTCACCCGGCGCCATGGCAGCGAGACCAGATTTTAGATCACCAAATCAAAGGGCTTTGAAAGAAAATGCATAGACTTTTACAAGAAAAGTATAGATCCACCTGTAACTTCAGCTACCTAAAAATTTTGAACTTCTGATTAGCATTTTTCACTGAAGGTAATCATTCAGCTTGTGCAATTTTACAAGTTTGTGACTATATCCTTCTGCTGGCAAATGTCCAATTTAGTCTAATTTACAGCAAAGTTACATTTTATAACAAAATTAAATTCTGTTAAATGAGCTGCATGGTGTTGTTGTTAATAATAATAATAATATTATCATCATTATTATTATTATATATTAGGGACCAGCTAGAGGACGAAGAAGAAAAAAAAACTTTAAAGGAGAAGAATAGTGAATTTATTTAAGTGTGGGCCTCCTAAATCATAAAAAAGACAAAAACAATGTGATCTAAAGCTGGCCATACACCATCTTGTTTTAATAAAATATTTTTTTTAACTTTTGCTCGATTTTCTAATAGTTAATGAGGTCACATTGATAATTGAAATAGCAGGACCGATAATATTTTTCAAACAAAATGAGACTCCAACAGTGAATGTGGTTTAAAATCGGGAAAGTCCATTGATTTCTAAAACTGAATGGTGAAATAAAACAAAATTTCCAACAAAAGTCTCTGATGGCATTAACAAATGTCCTGACTAGATTTTTCATATGAACATTCGTAAGAAAATCTACCAGTGCATTGCTAACTTAAGTTCACATGTGACAGATCTGCTTTGAGCAGGCCCTAAATATACTTTTTTTCTGTTTTAAGGGGTTTATGGCCTGCTTTGATTGGGCAGCCAAGACCTGGAGAACAAAGGAAGCAACTGAAGAAACCGCTAAATGGCCACAAGGAAAGGGGGATGAATGGAGCGAAATGATGACAGATAGGAACAAGGTGCCCCAGTGTTTGGTTACGGCCTATGGCCTTTGTTTACAAGACTTACAAGTGGCCATAACATTTATAGGAAGAGTCTATCAGAGGAATGTTTGAAATGACAAACAGCTAATAAATGTGTCACAGTTGTAAGTATTCAGTCTCTCTTTTTTTTCTCTCTCTCCTTAGTAAAATGTCTTGTTCAAAGGGCCCAGCTAAAAATAAGGGTGTTTGTGCAAATCATTGTAAAGTCACGGGGCAAATGGTGTTATCTAAGCTGATGTGTGGTGGCTTTTCAACCAACATCAAAAGACTGGCTGGATCCAACAGGGAGAACCACAGACCGCCTTTAAAATACATTTAAAGAGGTTGTTGCTTGTAGATTTTTATTACCAAAATAGGAAAGTCCATTGTGGAGACAGCAAGAGAAATAAAGGCAAAACCAACATAGGCAAAACAGCAATGGTAGCTGGGTCATACAATGTGCCGAATGATGGGAGTTAATTTTTAAAGAGAAGCACCAGACAATTTTTTAGTCTTCAAATAGAATGGGTTAGGGATAGAACCTATCTTAGTTTTTTTAATATGTATCCCGGCTGGGAAGATCACATCTGCCTTCTTATTGTGTCACCTGGACAGGAAGTGAACGGAAACCTCCCCAATGGGAGCACAGACAACAATATAAATTGGGCTGGAATTCTGCTTTACCTTACAGTAAAATAGGGCACATTCACAAAGAAACTAGAGTTTCTGAAGTCTCTCCCCGTCGGTTTGTAAATGATTTTCTGGTGGAAGTGCAGGCAGGGAAAGCAGCAAGTATAGCCATATCACTACATATAGCATTTGAGCCAGCATGATGCATACCTACAGTCAATGAAAGCACACAGCACTCAATTGGTTCAATACACTTTTTGGAGTCTCTCCAGAGTTTGTGAGGCTGGAGTTGAAAACACCCTAAGCACCCCAATTTTAATTTTTGTGTGAACACAGTCTAGCAGTACTTGGGACTTATCTGCAGTGGAGAAGAGTAGACGTCAAGGCTATATATAGGAGGTGTATTGTAAGAGCACTGGACCGCTGGACTTCTTGAGTGGACGATAGG